AAGCAAAGAAAAGATGACATCTTCATCAATCAAGCTAAGTACGTCAAGGATATGCTCAAGAAGTTTGGACTATAAAACGGGAAACCTCATGCCACTCCAATGAGCTCATCAAAAAAACTTGACAAAGATGAAGGAGGTAAATATGTGGATGTTAAATTGTATAGGTCAATGATTGGTTCTTTGCTCTATCTAACCGTAAGTAGACCTAACATTATGTTTAGTGTTTGCTTATGTGCTACATTTCAATCATGCCCTAAGGAATCACATTTACTAGCCGTTAAGAGGATCTTTAGATACCTTAAGGACAGTCCTAGTTTAGGACTTTGGTATCCTAGAGACTCTTACTTTAGCTTGCATGCCTTCTCAGTTGCTGATTATGGAGGATGCAAATTAGATAGGAAAAGTACATCCGATACTTGTCAATTCCTAGGAAATATCTTGATTTCTTGGTTTTCAAAGAAATAAAATTGTGTTGCATTATCTACCACTGAAGCGAAATACATTTCAGTTGATAGTTTTTGTGCACAAGTTTTATGGATGAAACAACAACTTTTTGATTATGGAATTAAAGTAGGTATCATACCTATCAAGTGTGACAATACTAGTGTTATTTGTCTCACTAAAAATCTCATCCAACACTCTAGAACTAAGCATATTGAAATTAGACATCACTTCATTAGAGACCATGTCGCTAAGGAAGATGTAGTTCTAGAATTTGTTGATACTTTGCACCAGTTAGCGGATATCTTTACAAAAACTTTAGACAAAGAAAGTTTTTGGACACTTAGAAGAGAATTAGGTTTAACTGACCTATCTTCACTTAGTGTTTAAAATAATTTTAGCACTTTTAAATTAGATTTGAAAATGCTTATAAAATAACATTTTTAATGCATTCTATGCTAATAGTTAGGGGGAGTTTAAGATCTTTGGTGATAATTAATTATATGTTCAAATGTAGTTTAAGGATAAAATTGATTGATTGAACATGATTAATTTTCAATATATGAGTTACCAATACCACTAGAGCTAAATATTTTAGCATTTTAAGTGTTTAAAACAAATTTTTGATATTTTGTGCATAATGCATTGGTACACTATCCAGTGCATCGATGCATCCTATGAATGTGCATCGATACACCATGAAGGTGCACCGATGCACTCCTTGAATGTGCATCGATGCACTCAGCAGTGCATCGATACACCTATTGGGTTTTGGGTATTAAAACCCTATTTCTTCTTCATTCTCTCAAAGCCCTTAAAACTACTCAAACCGGCTGTTCCCTCTCTTTTCACTCCAAATCTCTTCTTTGCCTCAAATCAACGTATTCTTGTCGGATTTTGATCATTTTTCAACTCCAAATCATACTTGCATTATTAAATCGTGCAAAACAACATCATATTCCTCTCAATCCGAAATTTCAAGGTAAATTTTTCTAAAACCCATGTTTGATTGATTTTTAAACTTATGGCTAGTTTTAATTAGTTCTAGGATGAACATTACATCGGGCATTGATTATTTAGTGTTTAGAAACTAAATTTACAACTAATTTCGTCAAAAACACTCATTTTTTTTTAATTTTTTTTGAAAATTTCGAAATAAAAAAATTATATTATTTTTAAAATCATTGATTTAATTTAGATGTTTTTTGATTCAATTATGTTGTTTTCATGAAAACTATACATGCTATAAATTTTTAGACATTGTTTTCAAAATAGTTTTCAAAACTTTGCCCATTAGGATTCGGTTTAGAGAATCTTAAAATATTACGGACTCAATTGAGTTTTGGGATTGATTGGATTGCATACATGTGCTTTAAATATGCATGTTACTTATCCGTAAACCATGTTAAACCCTAAACGACCTAGGTCCTCTTCAAGTCGATCAAACCTCCCTCCTATTCCTCCTCCACCACAAAATCCAAACCCAAACGAACCCGAGTTAACCATTCTTAACTCTTCCTTCAACCAACCCGATCATCGTAGAGTTGAATTATATGATAGGTTCGTTAGTCATTTTCAATCCTACAAAATTCGAGAGGAACGTATCCCTTCCATTCAAGCAATGTAAGATATTAACTTTAAATATCTTCCTGTTCTTCGTTCCTGGAAATTTGATAAGTTGTGCCAAATTCAACCCATTGTCTATCAACAATTAGTTCGCATTTTTTACTCAAATGTGATCTGTGTTCAAAATGCTAGTCAAACTGCAACCATAGGCATACAATCCTATCTCTTAGGAGAAGTCATTTTTATCAATTCAAAAACAATTGCTGATGTTTTCGGTTTAGACGATGATGGGATAGATAATGAAAAAGATCTTCTGGCTACTCCCTATAAGTCTAATGATAGTGTTAGTACCTTACGAACTCATCATGATCATTTCCTTCATTTGATGTTCTCTTTGTAGTTTAGACCATCCGGAGGTAGGTACTCCAAACTTAGAGTCATAGATTTATGGTGGATACATTGTATCCAACATAATAAGAAAATTAATTTGCCACAAATTATCTTTGGTGAGCTTGTCGATACCGTAAACGTCATTCCTTCCAAAAATATCGAAACTTTATTTTACGGGTGTCTTCTTTCTAATCTATTTATCCGACTACGACTTAAGGTCTCGATTGACATTCCCATGCCTCTCTAAAACCAAATCAACCTAACTTCCTTAAAGAAAGCCGGATGGATACAAGATAAGGTAACGGGTCAATGGGAATATAGACCCACTGAGCAAACTCCGGGAGCTAGTTCTTCACGAGCTCCTCCTGCACCTAGCTCTTCTCGTGCTCCACCTCCACTGGCACTAGCTACGGACGATGATCCAGAGTTTTAACAGCTTATGCAAGATATTGACGATCACGTACCAGACAATGAGCCAACACCGGAACCATCATAGTAAGATGAACAAATTTCTCCATATTTTCGATCATTTATGGAGTCATTTGATCTAAGGTTTGCTTCCATGGAATCTCAACTGATTGAGTTTCAAAGGGAGATGCGTGAACGTATGGATGCTCTCACATTTGAAGTGCGAGCATATTATCCTCCTTTCGATCCTCCTATGGACGACTAGACTTTGCCTTGCTTTTGCTTTCATGGATTTAGAACTTATTGTTTTCACATTTTGAATGTTTGTGGATTGTTTATGTTGTTTGGATGTTTAAATTTGAATGATTGAACTTATAATTATATATTTGGTTTTTGAACTTATATTGGTTTATTAGATTTTTGCATCATTTAGCATATGACCAATTTTACCATTTCACATTCGTTTATTATGAATATTTAATTATGAAACTAATGGCTAACATTTCTCTTGATTGTGATCTTAGCAGCTTACGCTATATTTACAAAAATCAATTGGCTATGTTTTTCAAAAATCTTCTTTAAAAACGTTTTATAGAGTCTTTTTTATTTAACAAAAAAGGGGAGAAGTAAGATGTATTATAGTAAGGGGAGTAATAAAATTGATTTCAAAAATAATTTTCATAGAAAATCTTAAATTTACTCAAATGTTTTGTTATATCAAAAAATGGGAGATTGTTGAAAACATTTTGATGTTTTGATATAACAAAGTAAGTTAAATGAATTTTAAGATTTTACAAATGATTTTCTAAGTATATCCGATACAATTATTCGAATATCAAAATATTACTCCAAGTCTTTCAAAGTTTAATTTCAATCCTTACTAAAGTGTAAAATTGTGTTTTATACTTAAAATATTTTTGAAACAATTTTCACAAAGTATGTTGAACCAAAAACGAGCCAAAAATCAAATTTGTGAAAAGATGAACCGATGCACTCATTGATGCATCGATGCACACCCCATTTCGAATGCATTTTATGCATCCAGAATTTTATGGAAACATCGAATGCATTTTATGCATCGATACACTCCAGACTTGTTTGAAACATCGAATGCATTTTATGCATCGATGCACCCTTAGTGTGCACCGATGCACTAAGTGTTCCAACTGTCGAAATATTTGAATTTTACACTTGATGCATCGATGCACCTTGACAATGCATCGATGCACACACGCTCCCAACTGATTTTATTAATTATTTTCACACACTAATGATTCTATTAACTCTACTAATGATCCCCAACGTTTAGAAATGATCCAAGGAGTATTTAAACATGCTTAGAAACCATTGATCAATAATAAGAAACTAGAATCAAGAGAAATCAAAGAGAAAGCATCAAACCTCAAGTTTGAGCATTTTAAAACCTATTTCATTCAATATTCATCTTTGCTTTCAAGAACACTTATTGTACTCAATTGTATTATTCTTGAGTGTTCTTTCTTTGTTCTAGAATTGTGCAAACATCTTTCCTTGTGAGGATTTTCTTGTAAGTTTGCAAAATTTATATTGTTCTCTTTGGAAGAGAATATTCTCAAGAATTTGGGGTATAATTTTTGAGGGATTTGTAAAATTACTCTTTGTCCTCAAAAGAAAGACAAATTAGTGAATTTGTGGAAAATCCTTAGTGTGGATAGCTAAGGTAGTGGATGTAGAATTTGGTTGAGAAAGTCGAACCACTCTAAATCGCTATGCAAATTTTTTCAATTTTCTGCAAAAGCTTTCACCAAAATTTTTTATTACCAATTCATCCCCTCTTAGCCAATTCCATTGATCGATTAACTAAACAATATTAGAATTTCCATGCATCCCAGATTGAAAAATTGGACTAGAAATGAAAAGAGAGAAGCAAAAAACTAAATTCGAGATCGAAAAAGAATTTGATGTTTATAATGAAATTAAAGATTGTATTGCAAGTTTTAAAAATTAAAGAACTTAAATGTAAATGTCTGAAAAGTTCAATGACTGTATTACAAACAGACTAAATGTTAGGAGATTACCACGTCATCTTCTTCTCACGGCAGTGTAACGACATCAAACGATCGATTATGTCAGAGACCATATTATAAATAGACTAAATGTTAAAAAATTATATTGTAAATTTTAAAAATTAAAACCTAAATGTAAGTATAAAAAAATTCAGTAATTATTACTATATTTTACTCTTATTTTAATTAAAAAAAACAAAAGTTAGGAAAACATAATCCCGGGCATTTAATGCTCGATAGCTGCCATCTCTGCCCTAATCAAGGGCTCTGTTATTGATGCCTACAATGCCACGTCTGACCATATCGGTTGTTAGCTGATCACCCTCCGTCGTCTTCGGTTGTTAGTCACCCTTCCCACCATAAAGGTTGCTGCAAATAACTATATAAATGAGCCTTTTTTTTGTAATCTGAAAACCGGGATAAAATACAAAAAAAGAATAGTTTGTAAGGATCGAGGGGCTCTCCATTTTTTTTCATTTTTTCAGAAAAAACGTTGTAATCGCTCCCTCCATTTTGAAAAACAATAGAAAACGGGTTATTTTCTTCCTCTGAAATTGAGCAACACAAAAGCCTATTTCGGTTTTCAAAGGTAGTGTTTTTTAGATCTGGTTTCGAGTAAAGAATAGTTATTTTCCTTTTTTATTTTTGAAACAAAAGATAAGAGAAAAGAAGGTAGCTTACCTTAGAGTCACCGGAGTAGTTATCGGAGGGTCTCGTCGGGGTCGAGTGGAGCTTGCATGTCGTCAGAGTCATAAATCCGAAAGGTAGATGTCTTTTTAGGTTTAGGAGTCTCGGTTTTTTGGGTTTAAAGAAGAATAGGGGTGTTTGGCCTCCTTTCGTCTCGGTATTAGGTTTCATGGTGGTCGACGAGTGAAAGAGAAACGTCGATCTACAATGAGGTTACGGTGGTTTTGAGTCTATGAGCATCGGCCGTGAAAAGGGATTTTGGAGAGGAAGAAATAAAAGTGATGTGGAAGCAGTGTTTAGGTTAGGTTTAGTAGGTTTAATTAGGATTATATATAAAATAATTATGGTTAATTTTCTTTTAGTCCCCAAAATATTAGTACATTTTTTTATTTTAATTATTCTGTCCCAATTACATAATTTTGCATTTTTTGTTTATTAGTACATTTAATGTTTAACAAAATTAGAAAACCATGCTTAAGCCCCTCTACTTTACGCGTTTATTTCCATTATGGTCACCAAATCCCACGTGTTTTTTATTTATTGCAGAGTTGAGGTCTTAATTCTTCATTTTCCACTTTTGTTTCCATTGGGTTTTGGATGACGAAGTATAGGGTCAGGTCAAATCACATTAAACCCCCCAGAACTATAGCTGCGTTTTAACAAAATGGTCTCCATTTTGTCATTTGTTTCGTATATTTTGATTCTAGTGCTCTTAGTTTATTAATTTATTTTTTAATCACTTGTTGGTTGTTTTATTTACTTGCATTAATATTTGATTCGATCTTGCAGTGACTCGATTCGGGATAAGACCCACATTATTATGATTCGGACCCTTTTAATATTATTTTAACTACTCACTTTCCTAACTTCTAACCACAAACATCTAACTTTTAATTTATTGTATTCAAATCACCATACAACCTTGCGGTGACCCACCCCAGGGTATTATCCGCGTTATTAGGATACGGGTTAAAATACTAATATTGCTAACAACTAACTTTTGAATTAAGATTTTGATATAACAATAATTTGTAAAATTGATTTTACACTTAATTGAATTGATCAAAATTTTATAAAAAATAATTCAAAGTCCAAATTTACTTGAAAAATATGTTTTAAATGTTTTTCAACTTAGTCGAGCCTTTTCAAAAATATATTTGATCATTTTCACGCTTTAAAGTTAAGTTTCCAAGCTTTTCTAGCTCAAAGGATCGATCCCTTACAAAAAAGAATTGATCTCTTTGACCAATGGATCGGTCCCTTGGATTATAGTAGGTTTGGGATCGATCCCTCGAGTAAAAGGATCGACCTCTTTACCAAAAGGATCAATCCCTCAATGAAAATGATCAATCCCTTCCTTTAAAGGATTGATCCCTTTCTTACAACAGCTAAATTATTTGAAAAATGATCGATCTTTTATCATTAAATGTTGTTTTTTGTTGTAGGTAATAACTATAATGATCCACAACAACTATAATTAATGGGGAATGTATAAATTGGAGATCAAAGGTTCCCAAGGTCAATAAGAAACATATTGAACCAACCTACAAACAATAAAGTTTTGTTTGTGTGCTTATTTTGTCAAATTCTTTGTTGTAATCACACTTGTGAGCTACATTGTTTATTTTGCTCAAGTGTGTATTGGGTGAGTGCTTAAATTGTGCAAACATATTTTGCCTTGTGAGATTTTCTCTTTGTTTCCTTTATTTGTATTTACTCTTTGGGAGAGTGTGTATTCAAGGTTTTGGGGTATAAACCTTGAAGTGTTTGTAAGGTTACACCTTGTCCTTAAAGGTAAGAAAATCTAGTGGATTTGAGAAATCCTTAGTGTGGATGCTAAGGTAGTGGATGTAGACTTTGTTTGAGAAAGTCCAACCACTCTAAATCGATGTGCAAAAAAAAATATTTTTGACTGCTTCCACCAAATTCTTAAAAAGACCAATTCACCCCCTTTTCTTGCAGTTATCTGGTTGATTGATATAACTAGAACTAACTCATGACTCTTTTTTTTCTAACACTACTAACCTCTAACCACTAACTTTTATTTTTTTTATTTTTTTATTTTATGCCACTAACCACTACCTTTAATTATTTGCATTCGAACCATTGTACAAACTTGCAATGACTCATCGGGGGTACAACCTGTCTTATTACAGTCCGGATTAAAAATTAAAATATTAATTTCTTAATCTTAATTTCTTATTATTTACATTTTAGAATTTTAATTTTCAATTTATTTTTTTCCCTTTTATTTTTAATATTTACATTTCAGTCTTTTTAAATTCCAGTACTTACTTTTCTACTTGTTTTTAAATTGAGCTTCATATTCTATTTTATTTTATTTTAGTCTTTCATGCTATTTATGAGTTTTATGTCATTTCCATTACATGTGATTTACTTTATTTGCATGATTAGTCTATATACTTTTTATTTTATTTTATTCCCTTTTGGATGTATATTCCAATTTCTGTTATTTATTAATTTTCAGTTTTTAGTCTCTCATATTATCAATGGTTTAAATGCAAGACAACCCCCGTAATTTCTCATCAAAGTAGATCTGACTTTTAATTTAATTTTTTTTACTTTTATGAATTTGACCCATGTTTTCTTATTTTTATTTTTATTTTGGCATTCATATTATTATATGTATAGTATAACACCACCTATTGTTGTTTAAAATGGTACACCACTATTAATATTTGATAATAATCATTGTTAAGCTTATTTCACACTCGTATGAATTTTCAAGAACGTCTTTTATAGAATGGGCGTGAAAAATGCAACTTGTTATAAACAACACGATTCAATACGACATTCTAACAAAAAGTAAACTTGAAAATAATCGATTATGATTTGATAAAAAAATGAAATCATCATTTTGTTTAAATAATGACAATATATTTTTTTGTATGTTGTTTAATTTAATATGAGGTTTTAACAAATAACTCGAAATAAATTAGCTAATGTTCGATAAAAGAATCGTATTTTAAATTTCAACTCGAATCTACAAATTTCACCACTACATCAACATATAAGCGATAAAGTACTAATTTTGGGCGTTGTTGTGGTTACTAATCCTTCCCCACACATAACCGACACCTAAGGCCTTAAAAATGAATATTTGGTTAACGCAAACTAATTTTACCTTAAAATGATTTTTCTTAAAAATATTTTAAAAGATATTTTTCAGGTATTCGACCTACCTAACCCAAAGGTTGATGGCAACTTCAGATTTATTTGTTTTTCAAAATTCATCATTTCTTAAAAGTTGTACATATTATTATTCATAAAATAAAAAATGATGTCGACAGCTTGACGACTCCACTAAGAAACAGTTAGAGAGTCAGGTCGTTAATCGTTTATACGTTACCTTAGGATGAAAATTGTGGATTCAAGTCCAAGATTAGCTTATGATCATTTTCATTAAACATTGGTTAATTTATTGTTCATTCTTTATATAATAGTTTTACTGATGCTTGAATTCATGTTTGCAACTTCATTGAGTTTTCCTTTTCGAAAGCGTTTTTATCTTTGTCAAAGGTTTGCAAGTTCAACCTCACACACTTCACTTGCATCGCATGAAATAATATTTATACCCAAGTTCTATCCCAATTAAGTAGGGGTGAACGTTATACTTCTATGGTGAATTTATTCCTTGTATGAGCTATAGTTACTAACCTCTGAGATACATGCCTTGTACCGTGGGAATTTATTTTCTCTATGGGTATAGAGAAGTGGATCTCATTGAATTGAACTCGTTCCATTTGAAGCCTGTAATGGGTGAGGATCGAGGGTTTGGTAGCCTAAATGGCCAACAACATCAATGACAATTTGAGTACCCTTTCCCCTAAAACTGAAACCACGCATATAGTGAACCATACACTGATCACCCTAGGTAGATCCCTATCGAACCTTTGTCCGTTAGTAGTTATCGAAATAGGTGTTCAGAAAGGAGGAATAATTCTATACCTTTACACTTTGCTTTAAATTCATACAATAATTTTTTTGAGTGAAAGCATGCGAACTAGATATTATGCGGTTAAGATTAATTTCTTGATTAAAGCATATCGAGTAGAACGCATGTCCGGGTATTATTGTTATCTAATAAAAGCATGTTGGGTAGATTAAAGCATATCGAGTAGAACGCATGTCCAGGTATTATTGTTATCTAATAAAAGCATGTTGGGTAGATACCATGATGGGATAGGTATTATATTCACCTCTGAATAACATTTTATCTTATCAATTATCTTACCCGTACTAACTCATTTTTTGTTTTTATGTCATTTTTTGCATTTTTGCATTGCTTCATCATGACATAATGCGAAGGTGTCGATTTGCAATTGAATATCTAATAGAAAATGTTTTGAATGAAGAAAAAAAAATTAATTAAGTATCCAATACTCAAACATGCACCATGTCAAGGAGAAGTTCAAGGAGAAAGATACATTAAAATTGATCGTTAAAAGGTAATCCGAGATTTGAGGGCATCACAAGGCTATCATCTGAGATAAGCCATATTTTGAATGAAGCCTTTACACAAGTTCAAGACATCCTAAAGCATTTGAAGGACATAAATTTTTGGGACGAAGATCCAAGCCATAACATTGACTTACTTTAGATCAAGAGCCCAAGCGAATGTATGTCTGTAAAATGGACTATTTGGTAAAATGAAGACTTTGATTTCCAATGAAACTTTTATATGATATTCATCGCTGGGATCAACACCATTTCCATATGCATTTTGCATTTACATTCACATCCTTGCATCTCTGCATTTGCATATATATGCACCTATTTTATTGAAGCATTATAATATTAATTCATTTAATAAAACATCGAATGATAAGATAAATTTTTCGATCACAGTGATTCTGACCCTTACTAATAGCAAGAATTCTCTTTACCCATACAATACAAGAAAGATGAGTAAACAAACAGAGGACAAACTAGCTAAAGTTGAGAAAAAGCAAAAAGAACTGCAAGAAGAGGTGAGAGGTTGGTTGGCTAAAATTGAGGTTGATATTGCTAGCTCTCAGCTTGATTTATCGAATAAGATGGAAAAGATGTTCAATAAACATATGATCATTGGGAAGAGTGTTGCTGAAGACCTTACTCATTTCTTGAGATCTAGACCTATTCATATGCCCCCCTAGTGCATCAGGAATTTGGACCTCATGTTTTCTTTGCTACTGAGAACGCACAAAATATCATGCTAAAACTTCTTTTTGTATTAATTGCCCTATTGCGTCTCGAGTGAAACCTAGTGATTTTTATGATAATGA